CTGTACGAATCTCTTCTGAACACACAGACTTGGCTTGTGTAGGTGGATTCCTATGGCTTCTGCTGTGTGTAAAAGACGAACTCGTAGAGGATGGGTGAGGTGAGAAGGAATGTGATAAATAACTTTACAGGCATTATGAATGTTAACTCGGTGGCCGGTGTCAATCAGATGAGAGAGCATTGAGCTTCGTATCAATCTGGTTTCTCTCTTACTTAGGCATGAAGGATGATGCTCGGCTATTTGACGACGGACTTGCCCAACTGTACGTCCAATGTAACTTGAATTGCACAACTGAGTGGTTCATCATCTATTTTGAATTGTACCTCCAGTGAAAATCAAACGTTTCAATAGTTATCTTTAAAGTCAATATTAGTTCTGTGATGGTGGCTTGAATTCAGATGAAAGTTATTCTCATCTCCTTACTGCTAAGCGTATCATCTATACTTTATAACAACTGCTTAATACTTGCCTACGAGCGAAATCAGCGCACTTTTTCTACCAACAGGTATGACGTCAATTTTCCTCATGACAATATTTGTGAGACTGAACTATTTGTATTTTGCCTGACAATCAGCATATGTTATACACAAAATATTTTATAAGAACTCAGTTCTTTTACTGTATTTTACTTGTGATATGAGCTTAGTACACGAAAAGTAGCTCAGTACTTCTGTGTATACTAACTAACCTAGTATATTTCTAGCCCTTGGGGGATAGATAAAGTACTATGATTTGATTTTATTCCGTTGGTTAATCTGGTTTGTTTCTTAAAATTTGAAGGAAGTGAGAAGGAAAACATGCCGTTCTTTTTTTTTACATGTAAAATATTTATATAATTCATGCACACAATTACAGCATAAAACATTTCTATCCTGGTTATAATAAATATAGGGATTTGTATTCATCACACTTAATATACTTGCAAATGGACAAACAATAATAAATTTAATCTGGAGGTTCGTGAAGATTTATCAGTTGATATAAGGTTGGAATTCATCATGTGCTGACATCAGTTGCAGTAATATAGAAAACCTGAGAACACTGGACAACTGTTTCGCTCCGGTTTGGGACTCTGCAGTGGTATGCAACCATGACCCATGACTGGTGGTATCAACGAAGTCGAATATGAGGACAGTCACTCAACAATGACATTGGATGTAGGTCGCACTATATCGCCAACTGACAGAAGTAGGAAATATGGACAAACGGATTCCAACCCAGTGGGTGATTGGTAACATGCGGGCCACGGAACCTGAAGTTTTTGGGTTCGGTCCCCGGTGAAGCTTGGTCACAGTTGCACACTTCTGATGAGTCCTATACTAGGAGGAAACAGCTGTCCAGTGCTCTCAGGTTTCCAACATTCCTCCAACTAATATCAGTCCGTGAAGAATTACAACCTGAGACCAACTGGTAGATCCCCATAAACCTCCAGACAGAATTCTATATTATGTTTGTTTTTGATGTAGGACATATTGATACATGACAGTTAACCTGATGACATTTCAAACGTAAATTATTGCTCATGATCATCTCGAGATAATCAAACAGCTTTCAACATCTGATTTTTATAGGCTATGTTCAGTTCCTCGTTTCGTTCTTCATCCCTACAATGCACTGGTTCATCTTCTGTTTCAACACCTTCTTATCTCTCCTCTATCAGCTTCCAGGTGTTTATGGAGATCCATTCCTTGTCTCGCCTTTTCCTCTTCCTTCCTAACACAGTTATGCAGGCCCACTTCCACACCTCCTTCAGAGAATTCTAGTGTTCTTCTAAGCAGGTTTCTTCAGGAATGTTGCCTAATGTCTCCCATTTTGTCCTGATAACTGACTGATGTGAGGATGTCATTTGTAATTTCTTCCTGCAATTCAGTTTCTGTTCTGCGTGTTGAACTTGAACTGCGGTCTATCACCAGCATCTTTGAAGGCCCTCAATTCGATTTCGAAGGTCCCTTGAACTAGATAGATAGTGAGTGATGTGAACCTACATCTGCTCGCCTTCTCGATCTGATCTTATGTCCAGTAGGCTGCGTCTCCAATTTCTCCAAATTGAGATGAAGTTGAGCTGAATTTTAGTGTGTTTATTTGGTGACACGCATGTCGCTCACTTTGCGAATATCCTTGAGTTTGCACACACTCCCTCCAATCACCAAATCATTAAATGTGCAGAAATCTGCAAACAGTTCTCCATTCTTGTTCATTTCACTGAGTACTTCTCAACCCATGATGTGTTCTCCTCCTGTGTTGTCCACTCCCAGTTTGGCATTCACGTCACCCCACCCATTAGAATGGATTTTGGTGTCGCCAACTGGAGTGGAGTCTTGTCCAGTACTGATTGCAATTGTCTGTAGAATTCCTCCTTCTCCTCTTGAGGATATCAAAGCCAGAATCGGGAGGATAGCAAGACAGGCATTCCTTCATTTATCTGAAATCAGTGTAGAGATATGCTTCACTGCAATGCACTGCACTCAGCATGAAGCGTGAACAACATCCGGATTTTCAACACTAATTCAGGCAGGTGAATCAGTGTTTCTATGTGATGGTTGAGAGATTTGGTGCCTTTCGAAAATCATTTGCAACAAACTAGAGACATCATACATGAACAGCTACTGCCTACACTCACTCAACCCTGAAGATCAGAAAGAATATGAGACAAGGAACTGTGACTGGCAACGAGCCAACCAAGAACCCGTTGCCCAACAGATGTGCAGAAGGAAGTGGGGGTGGATTGGAAGTGACATACACTGAGAAGATGGTGTGGGGACATCACGCGTCAGGTGAATTCAAGCCAGGTCATCCATCGAGTTGCACCGACATAGGAAACGACGAGTTGGGTGTTGGAGGGGAGGGTGGGATGAAGGAGGTGGTGTGATAAAGAAATGAAAGTTTGTGGGCATTGTTGGTTTCAGGTTGGAAAGACTGTAGAGAAGAGAGTGAAATGATGACGTGATACTTCAGCCTAATTTTTCTCTAGAAACCCAGAGGACTAATAATAAAAAATAATCGTAGTTGAGCCAATTAAGCAAAACAATTTTATCTACTAAACACTTTGCATTGATTATGAAGTCGAACATATTTGTCACACTAGACGATCTGGGCTGGTAAGATTATTAGAGGTTAGGACTTCATCCTTGATAGACCCTTTTATGATCAGTAATCTATTGCAATGCATGCACTGATACAATCATAGAAGAGGTTGGGATAAAACCATTGTAATTAAGTTTGAAATAGTTAAACAGAGTGAAAGACAGATTACCAAATCTTTGTACATCAAATCAACACCTAACATATGGAATAGGTACCACACAACAGTTATGTCGGAGATGTGAAGAATTTTACTACAACTAAAAAAGGATTTGAGTTGTTAGGGCCATAAAATTGGATGTTGAGAGTTGTGTAATCATGTTATGATTATGAAAAATAATATATGCTCAGAACGTCATCAAGGAAGAGTAACTGTTTTCAGCTATGTCATTATCAAGCTATGTACTCGCAAATAAATACCACATTACTTAACAAGGAAAAAAATATTTGATAAGATATTTTTTTGACAGAATGCAGTTTTTATAGCAGACCAGGAAATCTGACGATTAATTACATTTTATCTTAAATGGTGATGGGTAGAAAACTTAAGATGATTGAAGTAATGCTGGGTTACCAAGGAGGTTGATCTTATATGTTGAAAGGAATTGACGAATTTAATGAGAAATCTGAATTTTAAGCGTGGGAGACGGTTGTTGTAAGAAGATGTAATATGTTAGTAACACGATGATAGGAAAGGTTTTGAGCGCAAAATGTTCCTACAGGTCACGTTCATTTCGAATGGAAGTAACTCGACAAAATTCTTTTGAAAGCAGAGTTTTGACTTCGAATAGTTAATATAATGAGTGTTTCATACTGAAGAAATGATAATCGATGGATATGAATTTTAAGGTTGGTATTCATAATGGAGTAACTTCAGTTGGAGAAACACTAGAAACCTGGGAACACCGAACGACCGTTTCGTCCAAGTATGAGACTCCTCAGAAGTGGGCAACCTCGACTCCACCAGGGACTGAACCCAGGACCTTCAGGTTCCATAGCCAGCACGTTACCATTGAGCCGCTGGGTCGGAATCCAATGGTCCATATTTCCAACTTCTGTCAGTTCCCGACATAGGTCGACCATCACCGATTTTCATCGTTGAGTATTTTTCCTCACGTCAGTCAGGTTTGCCTCATTGGTCACGACTTCTCATTGGAACTTTGAGCGTTAGCTTTAAAAGTTAGTTACTCTTTGACCCCCTGGCTCAATGGTAACGTGCTGGCTATGGAATCTGAATGTGCTGGGTTTGATCCCTGATGGGGTGGGCGGGGTCATGGATGCGCACTTCTGAGGAGTCCAACACTAGGATGAAACAGCTGTCGAGTGTTGGCGGGTTTCTAATTTTCTTCCAGCTGATGTCAGTCCATGAAGAATCCCAACTTGACATTAAAAAATCCTTACAAAAACCCCCGAAAATCTGTAGCTGATGATTTTGTGAAATCACTTTACCTTGTTCTACAGCGATGAAAGAACAATCATTAGGAAGATTTTAAGTCGAAGTTTTAGGCGATTAAATATCTTCACATGTACAAGGATCATGCAGTCACTAGTTGACATTGGCAAAAATGATACTGTATAGGGTGGTGTGGTGTGGTTTGTGGTAGTCGATACACTTACGTTGAATTAATGATACATACACTGAATTTTTTCGACTTTTTAAGCCTTCAAAGGATAAAGCAACAGGAAATCATCAGTAGGCTTTTTTCCCATCTTGCATAACGTGATCAATGTCGTTAATGATAATATCCATTCTCCTTCCTTAATATATGCCTATTTTTATGAGCCGAACATTGTTCACTCATCACAATCGATTTTTGTCTGTTTGTCTATCGTACTGAATCTGATGATTGGTGTATCAAAATGTAGACATGTAGCCTAGTGTTGTGATAGGTTATTCTCATTAGTCCTGAAAGAAACAAGTCTTTCATCTTCCATGAGAGGTTATAGCATGACACTGTACAGATTTTCGAATATATATGTATTTGAATCGAGTAATCACACATAAATTGAATAAAAACTTGATTTAAGTATATTAATATTCATTAAGACAAACAAAATTTAATTAATCCAATTAAATACACCTATTTTACATCAAACATAACACTTTACAGAACATTTCACAGTTTGAAATTGCTAACCATTCATAATAATCTTACTACATATAAATTATTAAGCCTTAAACAATATACTACTTAATTCTACTACTGATTAACGAAAACATAACAGTATGACTGATCATCATCATCATCAGTATATTACCAATCAGAAACATTCATCTGTGGATGGAAATTGCACAAAAGATGATAGTATAGCGTTTAGTAATGTCGGTGAAGGTCGTACATCCAATTCAGGTATACTTATTGAAAATGAACGTAAAAATGGTCAAAATTCATTTCAGTTATGGAATTCACATACTTATAGTCATGTAGGAGTATGGAAACCACGTAATCGATGGGAAAACTTTCTTATCATTGCAATCATTATTGTATTGACTTTGTTAATTTTATTTATCGCTTTGTGGGGAGTTCAACTGGCTGCTTCAATAAGTGAGTTATGCTTCCTTTTCACATATTGTATTGTACTACTATTAGTTAAAATGAGTAGTTCATATCATCGCATACTGATCTATAGATTTCTTTAACCAGATATAAACACGAGCTGAACATTTTTCTTGGTAAGGCCAAACTTTTCTGTGCTTTTTTATCCAGCTCACAGAACCTACTTGCTAAAATGAACCAGACTAGATTGGTTCACCTGGATGAAGTGATATGTCATAAAATAAGTGGTCGATTCGGCAATTATTCTCATTATTACACTCAATGGTAATGTGTACATATGCTGTTTGTAGATGCGATACAATTCACTGAGCGATAGATGTGTACAAAACATCAGTATCTGTCTTTCAACCGATTTCTATGTAATTTACCTTGTCTTGAATGGATACTAAATGTCATGAAGTTATTGAGCCACCTGACGTGAAGGACTTTGATCATCATCATCAACATCAATATCAACATAGAACTAGGCATTACTGAGTGACGGTCTAAGCTGCAACACCTCATATAAGTACATCAAGTAAAAAAGAAGTGAGGGGCAAGATGAAGATAAGAAAATTCAGTCAAGAGAAATATAAAATACGAAAAAAGAGAAAGGAAGAATGAGAAGATGGTGAGATTCGTTATAGGGTCATTAAGATGAGGATAATGTATGTATACATCTGAGCCACTGACATCGGTTCTGAACCATATTACCTAGAGTCTCCAACCACTGGTTCCTCTTGTCCCGCGGACCAACTAATCATCTCCCCCATGGCTCAAACGAATGACTTTGAATGCAAAGATTTTTTAAATAAGAGTAATTTTTGACTTTCAGCAAAGAATTAAAACCATTTTCCTCACTACTGGATAGATTGTAGCTCATTTAAACAATACAGTGTACTGGCAAAATACATTTAGCCGAGTTGTACTCATATATTTATTTGTCGAGGTATTTCAAGAATGAAGAATGAGAATGCAATAGGATTGGGTGAATAATTCTAGCTAGTGTATAATTTATGAACGAAACGACGATGTCTCCTTGAGGTCTATTCTTACTGGAGTCAAGTAATCACTCGAAATAAACAAAGTCCTTTTAAGTCATTCTTACAATTTGAATATTTCTACCTGTGTATTTGTTTTCGCATACACTGAACTGATATACTCAGCGTGATATGACGTTACAACTTATTAAAGCCCCTTGTATACCATGGACTTTATGTTTTTTAAAACAGCAAGGTGAATGTTTTCTGGTAACTCAGGTGAGTATTTATTCTCAAGTTGTACCTTCCGTGTGAAGATCAAGGGTATTTTGATCAATTTTCAATTTATGAACAAGTATCAGAGGGTGATGACTTAAGTTGAAAAGAAACCTGATTTACACAAGAATTCTAGGCAGTAGCCTTTATGCTATGACTTCCTTTTAACTTGGGCTTTTTAAATTATCATTGTGGTTCATCCTTATAAAAATAGACTAGTTGAATTAAGGCTACTTCAGATGGTTGACAGACATGTATGTGTTTGTGCAGTCAAAGGGTCCCGCACTTGGATGAAATAGCCGACTAGTGCTACCAGGGCTTTAACTGTTCTTCGACGGATGTCAATCCAAGAGAAAACTACTTAAGAATCAAAAATTATCAGTTCATTTCAATATGAATAAAAGATTAAAATCCATTGCGGGGGGGAGGTGAGTCCTTGCATCTGTTGGTAAATCGAAGCATTTTCACAGTCTCTAACATAACTATTTTTTATTCGCTGCCAGAGAAATCTTTCATAAAATAATTAGACAATTAAGTGACGTATTACATTGAGCCTCATTGATACTCATTTGAATCAATAAAGAATAACTTGATATGAAGTCTGACTATCAGATGGAATCATGCATTCCGTAAAGTTTACTCCATGGATATAGTGACCGTTTGAGAATATGTAGATATGTTCAGCTGCAGAAATTGGTTGTTTGTGAACAAAGTGGATAATTGTTGACTTTTTCTTATTTGATTACTATGGCTAATTCTCTCTCCGCTTTACTGGTTATTTTCTTCACTCATTTAAAGTCATAGTATGTCCCTTTTTTCTCATGAAGTCACTTAAAATTTAGAGTTAAGAGGTGTTTTACCATATCAAAAATGGTAAAGTCGGTTTACTTCTGAGATGTGTTTTTCTGTAAAAGTTTTGGCAAGCAACGTTCCGTTATGATGTAGTAATAAAGTAGGGAATTGGGGGGGGGGGGGAAACTCCGTTACTAACCGAAAAGTATTTCTAAACAGTCGAACTCACTAGCCTAACATCCGCTAAAAAGGTAACGAGTAAATTATTTTGAATGTAAAAAAAATTTTTTTTCCGGGTGAATAAACTGTATTTAAAAGTTTCCCTTCTCTTTCTTAAAAACAGCAAACTGTAACCTATTAGCATGTATGAATCCTCAGGCTACTTTTCTTTTTGACAAGCGGCAATTTAGACTGATCGCTTAAAATCACGGTGAATCTCACCTGGATATCTAGGTACTTGATCAAAAGTAGTATTGTCATATATTCCACAATACTTACTTTCTTCTTCCTTTATTAGTCGTTTAATATAGAGCTTTTTGCATCAAAACGTATTTGTTTGCATACGTGTCGAAATCTAGTACACAGATTCACCGGTGAATAAAGTTTAAATGATTTGTAATGTTTCTGGAGTGTCGTTTTAATTTAAAATCACTGTAGCCAGTACACGCAGATATTTAAATCGAGGATTTGTCTTCTTCATGTTTCCTTTTCTTACCTACATTATCTGTATATTTATGCATTTAAATTTCCCTCTTAAGAAAATATAACACAAAATTATAATCTCTAAATTAGATTTTTATTCAACATTTTTTTGTTGTCTAATTCAATGATCAATTAAGGGAGGGAATATTAAATGGTGTGTACATTACTATAACTCCGTTACAAAATCAAGTGTGAGAAATTAAATGTTTCATCAACATGAACAATACGCTTTTAACGGTTGACAAGAATGAGAAATAAGGGAAAAAAAATTCCTTTTATATGTTTTGAACTATTGCTTATCATTACCGATTATTGAAATTGAATCAATAATATCTGGTTGGTTATATCATGATATTTACTTGCCATTGTATAAAACGAAAGTAACGTGTATTGTGTCGGCAAGTTTGATTACTTTTCTTCTTGTTGAACAACTACCGTATTTTTTTATAAGAAGAGGAAGGAAAGACAAAATATAATGCATTCAGGAATGAAAATGTTAAGCAACATCAGGAAGAAATAATCGGCTGAATATACATCAAAGAAAGAGAGAGAGAGAGAGTAATAAACACGTTTTATTGTGCACGCAATATGATAGAAGTTTAAGGATTTGCGGACGACACCTTGGTAGTAAGTAAAGTGTTCAGAAGCTTACTGTCGATATTTTCCGACTATATGTAAATGAACCATATTCTCATCTGGAGCGTCACAGGGAGACAGGTCAATTCTGACGAATGTGACTATCAAACAGACACTTCAGAAATCCAGCGGGTAATTTTATTTTCATCATTTCAAGGTGACAAATCAATAAAAATGAATTTGCAGTATACAGTTATCGCATTCCAGTTCCTAATGACTGACTGACACAAGTGGTATGGGTATTACTGACTGATGGTGACTGAAATCAAGTTTATGTTATACAACAATGCAGAGCAGATGAATTTCAATGCGATAATACTTTATATTTATGATAGGTAGTGTCTAGCAGCGAAGTCTAGGAAGCGCGTTTCGTCCTGTTTGGTACTTGTCGGCTGGATGTACTTGTCTCTCAGTGAATGATGTTATCTCCGCTGAGATCCAGGACCGGTTGCTTCAGACCTCAGAGCGTTACCCACTAGGTTACCGAGTCATGACAACGACTTCTTGTGCAATGGGTTGTTGTTACTTATATTAGTTGGACATCGTTGAATGTTATCAAATGGGCGTAATGATGTATCACGTGGTTGAGTGTTAATTAGTTAGTGGATCTGTAACTCTTTGGTGTAAGCGGTTGACTTTCAACTACTGGGTAGTGAGTTCGAACCCAAAGCTCATCGACCAAGATTTGAGTAGCCAGATGGTATAATTACTTCCCAAACAATAGGTGTGCCTCATTGCCTTGTGTATGAAAATGTATGTGGTTACTGTGAGAGATTGGCTGGTTTATTTTAATTTTTATAAGCTGTCTATCAAATTCACAATATTTCACTCAGATGATGTCAAGTTCCTAGTTAGAAAGATAATAGAAGAGTAAGGTATATACGCAACCCAAACTCATTACATGAGCTGCATATTGTATACCTGTGTGTGTTTGGTTATTACATATAAGAAAACATACTAAGCCATTGATAAAAGCGACGGTGATTCAACAACCAGTAAGGTTTCCCCAATGAAAACAAGGTTGAAGTTTTTTATATATGACATAATTTCTTTATGAAGTCAAAATACTCCAAAATACTAACATGCTGTTACAAAAAGACCTATATGTAACTGATATATATATATATATATATATATATATATATATATATATATATATCCGTTAATAAAAAGCAACCATCTCCATGTTTTCTAGTCGTAAGTGCTGACCGAATTTGATTGGTTACTTAGCAGTGTGTTCACCAAAGTAAAAAATTAACCATTGAGGTGTACTTTCAATGCTCTCAGGGAGGTATCAGTCGCTGGCTGTACAGCTCGTTGACAACACCTTTGACTGCAATGATATGTAGAAATGGATACGAATCCCAGAGAAAACACCAGCCCTTTCGGGGTGGCACATATGTCTGGATGAGGCGTGCCATAAAAAGTTTCCTGTCTATTGTCTGAAACCCCCTGCCAGCATTCGGTAAATAATATTGAATTAAGACATGAATTCATTTGGATTTTATTATTCAGGTAACTTTTCAATTTTGTTCATCATCTTACATACAAATTAATTTGTTAATCAAAACCATTAGAAACGAATCTTTCAAAGTTAATGAACATTAAGTTTTTATAATTTTC